TATATATATATATATATATATATATATATATATATATATATATATATATATCGTGTACACGTATATTTTTAAAATTAACTTATATTTCTAAATAAATTTTTTTTAATTTTCAATAAAATAAAAAGTAATTTAAAAATTTATGGAGAGAAGAACCAATACACAGGTATTATAGTGTAATAAAAACAGAACATATACCATGCATTTTTATGCAAAAAATAAAAATATTAGAAATAAAATTAGAATTATTTTTAATTTTCAGTTACTTTTTGCAGAGAGTATACGTGGGATACATCCTTAATTTCTCATTCATCGAGTATTCTTTTAATCTGTCTTTTTCCTGCATACATTAAGAGAAATAGTATTTAGGAAATAAAAAACATTTATTTAACAGATACTAATAACATATTTATTGATATAAAATAGTTCTCAAATAAGAAAACATTTTCTTATTTCTTATTAAAACTTTTTTCATGAAAGCAATTGCTTGTTCTATTCAAACAAAAGAATTTAGATTTAAATAAAAATATGTTATTAGTACTCATCGAATAAATTTTTTTTTAATTTTTGATATTTCCTCTCTCACATAGTGTATGATAATTAATGACAAATATCATCAAGTATCAGTGATCGAGATATACGCTGAGAAAGCGAATGTGGTCAATTACAAATTCAGTTTGAAAGATTACGATGCAATTGGACGATCTTATAATTTCATTGAAAAGAAGTCATTATATTTAACGAGTCATGCCGGACCAGCATGAGGATGGCGCGCATATGACACCTCAAAGAATCCGAGCGTGGGAGAGTCTTACGAACATCGCAAACCATTGTTATCCTTTTTTTTCCGACGCGCGCACATCGCAGTGAAAATAAATTCGTAATTATTCGTAATCACTCATCGTCGAGTCCTCCAAATTGGCACGAAGCTGAGGCCTCCCACGAATCAGTCGGCTACGTTGCCGTTTAAATTCCCCGCTTCCCAGCCGGCGAGCAAATTGCGGCCGACCCCTTTTTTTTCTCAGCGTGTAGTTCCGTACGGGCTCCTGATCGCGAGCATTAATAAACCAATTACCTAGATCGTTATCGCGCAATTTGCACTCCGTTTTTAACCTTTGTTTATTGCGTTTCTATTTACGTATTGCGTGGGGCAGGACCAACTCTAACAATGGCTTTGTATATATATTATGCTAATGAGTCGGCATATAAATTTTCCTCTCCCTCGTCTTTATAGCGATGAAATAGCCTGCCCGTAAATATTGGGATCATAAGGACGCGAAATAGGTCTCGATAGGAAATTATAATTCTTTCCCGTCTATATTCATCAGTCACTGTTGCAAAAACTGCGACAGCCACAGAAGAGCGACACATGTTCGGTGTAAAATTTAATTGAATTCCCAGCCAGTATTGTGTGCGCACTGTTGTGTGGACAATGAAATTTCATTAAACTCCTAGCCAATATTCGTTCTATGAACGAAATGTAATCGAATTCCTAATTGTATCCCGGAATCTGATTTCAACATTCGTACTATTCTCCCTTTGACACGGGATCTCTACGATCTTTTCTCTCTACAATATCAGTAATTCGTAAACTGAAAATTATTACATCAAGTAAAAAATAATTCAGGGATCTATGGGGCCAATACAGAGGTGTTATATAAAAATAGAAATAATTTCCAGAAATAGTCAAGAAATAAAATATAGTATTGAAATCTGTTTGAGATTTGCTTGAGTTTGGATGATTTGAAATTATTTTTGTTTTTAAAGTACCAATATCCGGAAATATACCTAATTCCTAACATTCTTACTGTTTTGAGAGAGATCTTTAAATACAAATATTTAAATTTTCAGCATAAAATGTACATGTATACTTAATATTTATATATGTATTTTATGTTGAAAATTTAAATATCTATATTTTATAAGACCAGAACAATTAGAATGTCCAAAATTAGGTACGTCTCTGGGCACTTCAAGCTTATTTAACCTAAAACTTCTATCCGATCACTCCGCCTACAATTACAAAGAAGGATGTAATCAAGATTCGATTAGACACGCGATCATATCACTTTTCATAATGGAGATCTTCCCGTGATTACCCGAAAATCATCCTCCGAATTCCGTCGTAACCCGCGACGGCAGCCGATTCCGGAAGGACTGCTTCAAAAAACGCGGCATCGCGCGCGGAAGCTACAGGTGGGCCGGCGTGGCGCCCCCCTGCCGGTAGACGCGGTGCGCCCCCCGTTGGCACGGGCCTGAGGAGCCGCTCTCGCGGGGGTCACGTGACCACCCTGCGCTCGCGAAGGGAATGCCAGCAGCACGGTGCGGTCGAGGGTGGCGGTGGGACGGGAGGCGGCACGCAGGCGGCAGTCCTATGTCCGCCGAGCGGACGGCAGGCTGCGGCGACGACGACGGTGATGACGGTGACGACGGTGACGACGTTGACGTCGACGAGAGACTATCACGGTGCAGCACAGAGATCGACCGACCGATTGACGGAGCGACTAGCAAACGTGTCACGATTCTCGCGTTGATCCGTGCGAAGAGGGTCACGCGGCGCGTCGTATCGGCCGTGAGTCGCGCCGTGCGTTTCGCGTGCAGTAGGAAGGAGCGAGGAAACGGGCGCGGGAGAAAAGCCGACCGGGCGAAGCGGAAACGTGTAGGAAAATGCGGATGTCCGTGACCGCGAACGGCTCGCCGCGGCTGCCGTGATCGTGTCGGCCGCTGAGGAAAGCGACAGGCCCCGCGACGCTCTAGCCACCGGGTGCCGTCGGCACGATGGACGCGTTCGGCATGTACCAAGTGAGTGCCTCTGCTTTGGAGATACTCAAAATGGCCTTGGTTCTTTCTCTCTATGTCTCTATCTTTCTCTCCTGTTCGTTCTCTTCTCCCGGTATCTCCATCTCTCTCTCTTGGACGCTCCACGAGCGAGAGTGCAGGGGCGTAGGTGGCCCCTTCGTCGTCGTCGTCGTCGAGATGACATGACAGGCGTCATAGGTGTTTTGTTTGGGCGGATGTATGTGTGTATACGTGCGGAGCACTCGTGCTTACGATGCCCTGCATGCTGCGTGCGTGCCTGCGTGCGTGCGTGCGTGTGCCCGATGTCATGTCGCTGCGACCTAACCTAACCTAACCGCCGACTAGAGCCTGTCCCAATCACGCCCATTCCTGGTATTTCCTACTCCGCGCGCGCTACTAGCGAACGTGCATCGTCGATGATGTTTTTGCTCGTCGCCTGGAGCGACGTAGACATGGATCGTCTTCGACGAGTCGATGGCAACCTCGTCGCGAGCAGTCCTCGCGCGGGTTGTACTTGGGAATTTGAACTGCCGTTGGGCCCACTTTTGAAAGCATGTTCATTTGGTCTGTTCTTTCAGCTGCACTGCTGAACTGGTGCAATAAATTAGAGTGAGAAAATATATATTTATCTCACTTTAACTTATTGCACCAGTTCAGCAGTGTAGCTGAAAAGAACAGATCAATTACTGTCAGATTATATAGCAGTATTAGGTTGGAGGAGACTGTTGGAGATAACACTATGCTTTATTTTGTAACTATATTTCTGTGAGATAAAAGTACCACACAACACCTGGACCTAACTCTGAATATTCTTGTTGTTTTGATTTTTAAATACAAATATTCCAACTTTCAACAAAGAATATGTGTATATATATAATATATTTATTGACATTCATATTATTCTATATTAAAAGTTTAAATATCCATGTTTAAAAAAAGATCAAACAATAAAAATATTCAGTTAGATGCATGTCCAAACATTGATACTTTCATTACTTGTGCTGAAAGACTCACTTTTCTACGTTTCATGATGAATTTTACATCAGCAGGTCAATAAGATGCTTCACCAATCCTCATAAATTAATTTTCTTTATAAAATGCTTCAGGAAATATATATATATATATATATATATTATATATATATATGTGTGTGTGTGTGCATGTATTATATGTTGAAAATTTAAATATTCATGTCTAAAGACCAAAACAATAAAAATATACAAAGCTGCATATCCAGGAACTGATACTTTCATTACTTGTTTGAGACTCGTTCTTCTGTATGCAACAATGAATTCTATATCAGCAGATCAATAAGATGCCTCACCAATACTTACATAAACTATTTTTATTCATTAAATATATCAGAAAATTTCACAAGATATTTCTAAGTTATATGGGCTAATGTATGGCAGTAGTTTGTGAGTTAAAATGAAACTTAGAGCTCAAATAGTCGAAGTGAAGCTTCATAAGATATTGCAATAACTAATGACTAATTAGCTAAATAACTAATAATGAAATGTTTCTTCCCACAGTTCTCACAGGGCCTGACAGGGCGGCCCGAACTGTATCAGAAATCAAACAGGAGTAGTCATTCGAGTGACACAAGTTCAGCATACAGTGGATCTGACACCATGACGTCTGTACAAAGTTCATTAGACGCAGATCCCGACGAGGTGGACCTTTCGGGTCTCGTAGAGTCAATCGTCGACAGCGATGAGGAAGAGGATCTGGCAGAGAGTATGGATGTGAGTATCGCATCATCGTGATTTATATTCTCACAATATGCTCCAAACGTGCGTATTCTAATCTCCCTCATTGCGATATTTCAGAGTTTAACAGTTCGTGATCCTGTACGAGAGTGTTTGGAGAAGGACCCAGTGGAGAGAACGGAGGACGACATAGAGACGCTTTTAGAGTTTACACAACAGTTGAAAGCTTTTACCAATATGACTCTGGCCGTTAGAAGAGCGCTATGCGCGGTGATGGTATTCGCCGTGGTCGAGCGTGCCGGTATGGTGGTCTTGAACGACGGTGAGGAGCTCGACAGTTGGAGCGTGCTGATCAACGGTGCTGTCGAGGTCGAGCATAGCAATGGCGAGATCGAGCAGCTCAGCCTCGGCGACAGCTTTGGCATCTTACCCACCATGGAAAGACTATTGCATCGCGGAGTTATGAGAACAAAGTGCGACGATTGCCAGTTCGTTTGCGTCACACAGGCGGATTACTTCCGGATCCAGCATCAGGGTGAGGAAAATACCAGGCGACACGAGGAGAATGGCAGGGTGATTCTCGTAACCGAGCTACGAGGAGCCCTGGACGGCGCAGCGCGAAGAGGTCACGTGGTGATCCGGGGTACTCCGGAACGTTTGATGTTACAACTCATCGAAGAGAACAGTATTACGGATCCTACCTACGTGGAGGACTTTTTATTGACTCATCGGACGTTCATCGACAGCCCGTTGTTAGTCGCGAGTCAATTACTGGAGTGGTTCGATCAGGCGCAAGTGCGAGATCGCGTGGCTCGCGTCGTGCTGCTGTGGGTAAACAATCATTTCACTGACTTCGAGACTGACCCGTCGATGATGGAGTTTCTGGAGGCGTTCGAGGCCGGGCTCGAGCGGGAGAAGATGCAGGGCCAACAGAGGTTACTGAATATCGCATGTGCGGCGAAAGCGAGAACGCGGAATGTGACGTTAGCCAGGCCGAACAGGGACGAAGTGCTGAATTTCAGTATCTTGGGAGGATTCGAGAGAGGCTTCGGCATATTTATCTCAAAGGTCGACAAGAGATCCAAGGCTGAAGACGTTGGTCTTAAAAGGGGCGATCAGATTTTAGAAGTAAACGGACAAAGTTTCGAGCACGTAAATCACGCGAAGGCTCTCGACATTCTTCGAGCCTCCACGCATCTCAGCATAACCGTGAAGTCCAACTTGCTCGCGTTCAAGGAAATGCTCCAGATGCCTGACAATTCGCCACGATCGCGCGGCAGATCGAGCAAGCCCGAAATACCCAGGCTCCCATCGGACCCACGCGCTAGGCTGTCGACACACGTGGACCCCATGACTCCTGTGAACCCATTGAATCCCATGATTGGCGGAGTGCCGTTGTTAATACCCGACAACAATGTCTCGCCGTGCAAGGACCCGAAGAAAGAGCACAAGGGATTCATGACTCTCGGGCCCAAGCGACGACTACAAAAGGCGCTCATGAAGATGAACATACTACCAAAGAACACGATCAACGACGGCGTGCACGTGGACGATCCGCTCGCGCCACCGCACACGCCACCGGGCACGGGGCTCTCGCAGACTACCACAAATCTGTATCACTCCAAGAGCAATCCGGATCTCACATCGCTCTATTGTTACGACGACTTGAGAGCGAACGATTATCCCGAACACGTACTCAAGGTGTACAAAGCTGACCAAACGTGCAAGTACCTCCTCATCCATAAGGAGACCACGGCGCATGAGGTGGTGATGCTCGCGCTTCAAGAATTCGGCATCACGGAGAGCAGTTCGAACTTCTCTCTGGCGGAGGTGAGCGTCGGCGAAGGAGGTATGATCAAGCAACGTAGATTGCCGGATCAACTGCAGAATCTCGCGGAGCGGATCGGGCTCAGTTCTCGGTATTACCTGAAAACTAATGGCATTTCCGAGACTCTGGTAGCCGATGAACAAGCTCCTGAGCTTATTCGGGAGTCGCAGGTGCATTTTCTGCAATTGAACGCAGTGGAAGTTGCGGTACAGCTGACTCTACAGGATTTTAGTATATTTAGGTAATTGTTCTATGAGTATTCTAATATATCTAAGTATTTGTGTTGGTAATCACTTCGTAAGATTGATGATTAATTGTACACATGAAATTGTTTGATCATATAGAAGAATGATCCGTCTCATCACGCCTGCAATTAGCGCGTAAAGTTATAGTTATATATCTTATTTCAGGCAAATCGAGTCCACGGAATATGTGGATGATTTGTTCCAGCTGAAGAGCAGGTATGGTGTGCCTATGCTCAGTCAGTTCGCAGAACTAGTCAACAGAGAGATGTTTTGGGTCGTGACGGAGGTTTGTTCCGAACACAATCTCGTGCGGCGCAGTAAGATAATAAAGCAATTTATTAAAATAGCACGTAAGTGTCTCTTTAAAATATTTTTATTTTCTTATTTATTCTTTATCATTATTTTATTTTCAATCCTGTAACGTTTTTTGCGAACAGGTCAATGCAAAGAGTGCAAGAACTTCAACTCTATGTTCGCAATCGTGTCCGGTCTGGGTCATGGCGCGGTATCGAGATTGAGAGCATCGTGGGAGAAACTACCAACTAAATATCAAAGGTTGTTCAGCGATCTGCAGGAATTGATGGATCCCAGTCGCAATATGAGCAAATACCGGCAACTGGTGGCGTCCGAACAAACGCAGCCACCTATAGTGAGTCTAATTTTCATAAGGAACAAGATATGACATTTAGACGTTTGCCGACATTTGTGTATTATTTTATGATAATTCATTTTTGCAATTCGAGCTTCAGATACTATGTATCTTTAGATGTTAATATATTAAATTCTATAAATTATACACGTTTTAGATACCTTTCTATCCAGTTGTAAAGAAGGACTTAACCTTCATACATCTTGGTAACGACTCGAGAGTGGAAGGTTTGGTGAACTTTGAGAAGCTTCGAATGATTGCGAAGGAAGTGAGAACGCTAACGAACATGTGTTCTTCGCCCTATGATCTGCTGACCATGTTGGAAAGGAGCGGGCAACCGCCGAGCTCCGCGATGGTCGCTCTCAACCAAATGACCACCGGTAATCAAGGTAAATCTCTCATACCGTTATTTCGTTTTATTAAGTTTGACTGGCACATACGTAATATCGTGACTTGCAGGTGGCCAAACCGCAACGGTGAAACGACGAAAAAAATCGACCGCCGCGCCAAATCCGAAGAAAATGTTCGAGGAGGCGCAAATGGTGCGGCGAGTAAAGGCCTATCTTGCGAACATGAAAGTCATTACTGACGAAGAACGACTACATCAGCTCTCTGTCGATTGCGAGCCGCATGCAGGAGCTGTTGCAGTCGCTGCCGCGGTACCAATTGGCGGTAGTAGGGGTAGGAGACATCCGTCGCCTACTCTGTCGACCACTAGCAGTGCCAGTAGTACTAGTGAGGGCAGGAAGAGTATACAAGGTTGGTTAATAACTGCTAATTGTGTTGCGATTATCTCCCTTTTGTCAAAGAGAGACTTTTTCTTCATAATACAACTGATATCGCGGGTTTTTAGGTACCAAGTTTGGCGCCGCGTCTCCGCAAGCAGTGAGAAAAATGCTAGCTCTATCGGACCCTCACAAGACGCGACCGTATCAACCCAAACATTGTCCACCGCCGTTACCTGTACCTGGATTAGCGTTACATTCAAGCGGTTTAGAACCCAGTCCAGGTGCGCCTAGAAGAGTAGGATCAGGTACCAGGGTACCAATGCATGAACGATCCCACAGCGACACCCCTGCCAGCCTACCACCGCCCGTCGATCTCAGTGCGGAGAGCAGCAGCGTAACTAGCTTAAGCAATCTCCAGCCGCTGAGGAAAACCTTGACGAGCGGTGAGTACGGATGTATCGTTACGAATTGGTTTGAAGCGAGATGCTGTCCATTCAAACGATATGTTCTGGGAGTCTGTTTAGACGGATCGACATTCAATCCGTATCGTACAAGAATGATCGTGATTTCTAACACGCATCATAACATAATAACTTGTAATGTCAATTTATTTTGTTCTATTATGTCGTATAACAGAATTCGGCGATCTTTTCCTTTTTTAAAGACTGTTTTTCTTTCAAGTTCGACTAATATTGTTTATTAGTAACGCATATTTTGTAAAATCGAATAAAGTGAATCTTAAAAAATAGGCAAAATTTAATCGGCTATAACTTTAGAAAATATAAAGATAATAAGATGATTCAAGAGACATTTTACAGATTGAAGTCTCTAGTTTAAACATATTTTTGAATATAAAATTTTATTAACGTTTACAACGTTATACAAATTTAAATCAAGTGATTTGAAATGTTAAAATGTTTTATTACATTTTTTGAGTTATATCGCAAAAAGAAAAAATCATATATTCATAGCGATTATACCATTTCAAAGAATGAACTTTTCACTTTAATTTGTGTATTCGCAGATTGCAATGCAATCTTCTTTCGTCGAGTTATTTAATGTTGAAATACAAATGGTATATTAACATTAATCGCTTACAGTACATGAATGAATCAATATACGACATTCGCATAAACAGCATTACAATTCTCTCTTTAAAATGCACACGCCATATTTTTAGTGTAAAACTTTAACTGAGAGATAAAATTGAACAATCGCTATATTTTATTAAACTCGGTAATCTTTATATGAAATGACAGTAACATTTAATACATTTGTAACATACAATAACATTTTTTATACATTTAATATATTTGGAAAGTAGAGAACTCAAATTTTATAATGCTTGTCACACTATCTCCTTATCGTTATTTTTTCCGGAGTTACAGTTTGTTGAATTTTGTATAATGCAGAGATGATACTAAGCATTCATTAACATACTATTTGAGGAATTGAAGAGATATTTGATTTGTTGAGTTGTATTACTAATCCGATTCTTTAAAGTTGCGACTCATAGTGGAGACATTGTAACTAAATGTTGACAACCAAGACTCGAACCATGTTTAGCCGAGATTCAAACCTTTTGTGAATTAAGTTTTACTCAATACTGTTAGATGACGCTAAATGAGCCGCTAGTAATTCGCGCGATACTTCGAACCTTTCTAATAGATTCATTATTTCCTATTTGTGACATTTTAAATTCTAAAGTTTTCGCCGCAAGTTGCTATTATACTTGTAGAGCAATTCAGGTGGTACAATTGAATACATAAGCCAGCCACTTCTTCCGTTTCTCAAATAACATGGATGGATAGCCACATTTTTTATTATATGAAATAAACAAAATTCAACAAGTCATAATTTGGGCAAAAATGACAATAACGAGATGGTTCAAGAAATGTTTTGAAATTTGTGGTCTCTACTTTTTGGGCTACTAAATTTATGATGACATTATCATTTATCGTTAAGATATACCAAATTAAACGAGAAATAGTGACCGTTCAATTTGCAACTTTATCTTTTAGTTAAGTGTTTACATTGAAAATTTATTTTTATACAAAAATGTGAGAGATGTATTTTAAAGAGAGAAATATTTAAGCTTTTTATTAATTGCTTAGCGAATGCCATAGACTGATCCGTTCGTTTACCGTAAGCGATCAAAGTCGAAAGGAGACGGTTTTTGTTTCAATATTAAATAACTCAATTTTAAAAAATCATATCGCAATCTGCGGATATGCAAACTAAAGGGAAGATTCAGATTTCCTAACGGTATAATCGTCATTTATGTATGAGTTTTCTTTGGCGCGGAGCAACCCAATTATTTCTACATTTAAGAAATCTCCATTTATATTCAGGTAGCATCATGAAAGACAGTAAACTTTATATTCAGGTATACACTGAAAGCTAGAAACTTTAAGTCGTAAAATATACTCCTTGAACCACCTCATCGTGTTATTTTCTCTGAAATTGCAGCCGGTTGAAATTTCGTCTGTTTGTTACAACTGAGAAAAGCAAGTCATTAATTTATCTTAAATATATTTGTTTTAAATATATAAGAATTTATTTCATAATCGATTCACGCTTCTAAAATTGCACGCGTGAGTGATATCGCAGCGATATCACTCACACGATATCACTCACACCATATCAAATCGTTGTCGTTCCGTCTGAATCGGCTTCGGGGCCGAAAGTTGTTTTTCTTTGCGGTATTTCCTCTCAACAGCTTTTCATTTGAACTCTTTAACTCTTTAGATCGTATTGGACATCGATAGATTGTGAAAGTCGACTGAAAATTGATCTAATAGACACGCATCTCGCGACGCACCATTCACGCACCTTCATTGCTCGTTACGTACACACTGGTCAGGTCTCGCAACAAGGAATCTCATTATTATGCACGCTGCACCGCCGTTTACGCAATTCATAAATGTTCCATGTTATTTAGTTGATCCATATATACACGAGCACACGTACACACACACACACACACACACATGCGTACACGCAGATTGTTACGTCGATTACTGTAGCGCGAGCTTTTCTTTTCGATCAGATGATCACGAACACCTCGCACCTAATCCCAGAACCAAGCGCGGCTTTGACTCTGAGAGTTCTCACACCATGGGACATACGGAATAGTACGTTAAAAATATCGTGTCTATAAGAGCGTCGGCCTTTCATGCGCTCTAAATACGGTGATATCATTAAGGTGTCCCTCGACGTTTTAGCGCGAAGCAGATGTGCAGGACAAAAAGCCTGGATAGTTTAAACACGTTTGAATAACGCGATTTTGACTTGACATTCCCCGGTATTATCATGGGAACTGATAGATAGCCGGACAGTTCGGTCAGCGCGACAACGTACTCATCGATCGCGCCTTGCCTACGGTGGTAAAACGCGAAGATTTGCGAAAGAAAAAACAGGAAGCGAGGCGATCAGCGATGCAAGTTTAGTGTTTAGGTTCTTGTTAGTTGTTTCGATCTCGACTTTGAGTGTGTGTGTGTGTGTGAGAGAGAGAGAGAGTGAGAAAGAGAGAAAGAGAAGATGAAAGAGAGACATTGCGGATTGCGAGTGAACTTGCCAGAGGAGAGATAAGGCAGACTTGACAAAGAGAAAGATTAACCTTTTAAGGCCCAGGCGAATAAGACTTTTTCTTCATAAAGTGGTCCTAAAATACTCCCGATGAAGAGTTTTGTGGCCTGAATAAAATTTGCCGTCGAGAAGTGCGATTTTTTCTGTAAATGTTCATAATTATATATAATCGGTGGCAAATCGGTTACACGCTTTTCATCGAATATAGTTGCGACGCTTCGCAAGTTGTCGGAATTAAAAGCCACTGCGTTGACGTGTACGTAATCGGTTATGACAGAAGTCAAAGAGACAGTGCAGAATGTGACGGTTGCAAGATTTTGCAAAGAAAGAATTTATTTGAGATTAAAGGAACATTATTTTGAGAATAGTAATTTTTTTATATATATTTGTGTATATAGGTATGATGTATTTTTGTTACACTACCGTTCAGAAGTTTGGAAGCAGTCATATTTTTGTGTAAAATAAAAGATCGTTTGTAAATATTATGAAAGCAACCGCTTATAATGAATAACAAATAATATGTTTGTTAACATTGACGACTACTTTAGGTTAGAACACCAACTTTCTGTACCTATAATTACCTATAATTACATTATATTAAATAAAAAAATTCAGTTAAATCAACCGACTGATAATTTTAACGCACACTGAGCTCAGAAATTGTAACTTGCGTCTATGAATGCTTGAATACAACTATTAAGATCCTATTTAATTAGAATACAATGGTTAGATATTGGAATTGAGGGTAAACATCATATTTCTGTAATTCGAACGTGACCAAAACAAAGTAAGTGTTCAACTGCAAGTAAATAATAGCAAGAATTTATTAGATATAGGTATAAAGAGTTGGTGTTCTGACCTAAAGTAGTCGTCAATGTTAATAAACATTCATTATACCCGGTTGCTTTCATAATATTATAATTTTTTATTTCACACAAAAATATGAAACTGCTTCCAAACTTCTGGACGGTAGTGTATATATTTGTATGTGTTTTTATATATCATGTCGGCAATGCTTTTCGATTTCGACAATTCGAAGCGTTGCAACCTCATTCGATAAAGAGTATGTAAACTGATTTGTAACCGACTGTACGTCTATGTTTGTACGTGTGCCCCAACTACACATGGAAAAAAAGGTATGGTGCCAGTTGTGAGTTGCATCACCCTGGTTATCATTGTGTGATGGTAACATGTATGGTTGATACGACTCAGGTACTTTGATACATCAACTACGTAAATGTAGTTGCGTGTGATCTGATTGCGGCAACCAGAAATCGGTTGGAGTGACATTTACCATGGATACAGCCTGGTCGAGGCAACCAGGTATCGTCACTGCTGCAACGCTAGTAACACAGCAATTGCTCTGTGCTTGCGGCAACCACATAATTAGTTGTTCCGTATTTTACTATTTGAATCTGGTTGGCACAAGTTTGCTAAAATTTGCGCACCTTTTTGCATGGGAAATTTCACAGAACGTCGAGTATCAATGGTTCTGCTCCGCACACACGATCGCTATATTGATTTCTTCAGCGGGAAAATTACTGTTTCACGAGTTGGGGACCGAAGAATATAGAGAGATCCATCTAAAATGAATTGTATTGTATCGACGGAATCCTTATTTTGCCAGTATAGAAAATATGAGGACTCAAAGTGAAAGCACTTATGAACACTGGGCCTTAAAGGGTTAACGTTAGATCCGCGAGAGCGTAGACGGTAGCGATGTTTGGCGATCAGGGCGCTGATCCCGGCTGGAACGTGTAGTGATAGAAGTGTCTTGGGGACGTGTGCGTAGGTTCGGTGACGAGCAGTGACAGTGGTCATAGCACTCAGCTGGACAGCCACAGCGGGAGCAGCGTGGAAGCGGGCGGCAGCCCACCGCCACCGCAAAGACGGCACTCCGCTATGCAAGGTACGTAACACATCACCAACAAGCGACTGAGAATTGAAACGAGAGAGCGAGAGAGAGAGAGAGAGAGAGAGAGAGAGAGAGAGAGAGA